AACTTCACACCCCCTAAGGGGTGTGTACTAGGGTGACCACCTTCCTGCTAGCGAAATGCGGGACGCGCGGAGGGGGGGTGGGGGGTTAATTTTCACTCCCAGTGATATATCTTTCATGCCAAATGTGTTATTAATGTGTCGAAGTTGAAAATATAAAAATCGACTGTAGCAGAACTCAATGGATCAAATGGAAATAAGAAACAGTAAATCTTTTTCGGGTTATTGTTTCCTGTCAACGCTTACTTTTATCAACATGGTCCTACCCAAATTTTTAACATTATATTATTTTTCGGCCATTGCGAGTTGTAGGCTTTCTGCCTTGTAGGGCTGCCTACACTGAAACAAAAATCCACCGCAACCCTTTCGCATTGACACAGTGATTTCAAAATAATTACAATATTTTATATTGAAACTTTTGGTGAGCAATTCTTCTTAGAATATTTTGCCAAGGGTAGAGGCACAACAGAGCATGCGCCTCGGGTCTCCTGCAAGAAAGACGGTTGCTTCCCACGATGCTTGGATATAAAATGGTGTACCACTGCGATTCTCACGATTACCAGCGACATCCGCGCTTCCCCGTGCCCCGTTGTTCGGCAACGCCATGAGTTGCAAAGTGAATTTTACTACAGTATGAAATGCGGGACATTTTGAAGATCTGAGAATTTCTTGCGGGACGCGGGACACGAGCCCTCAATCCGGGACAGTCCCGCGAGTCGCGGGACGGGTGGTCACCCGAGTGTGTACACCCCTCCCCCCCCCCCCCCCCCCTCCCTTGTTTTTCTGAAGGCACCCCCTTAATTCGCAACGGCTTTTCTATTCTCAATGCCCCCTAACTCCCCCCCCCCCCCTAATATTTAGACCCCCCTCCCCCTCCTTATTTCAATTCCTGGTCAAAACCCCTGCACGTGACCTTAGGTAGTGCCGCCTCATGTGACACGCTCAGAGCGTCGGACTGGCTGGGATGGCATATCCGCTGTGTATGACTCTATCTTGCTCGGCATAGAATTATAGACGAAATATGCAATTTTCGTGATTTCTTTTTTTTTTATTTTATTTTAGCACGGGCGCCGAACGTCTGAGCTCGCTGCGCTAATATGCGTTCGTCTGATAGCATTTTATGCGAGCTTTACCTATCCCACTTGTACTAACTCGCGGTGGTGCGTAAGTTTTGTGACACGTTGTACCAGGGTAGCGAAACCAGCCAGGAAAATATTTGTTTTACAGATTCAACTTGGGAAAGGGGGGGGGGGGGGGGTTATTGATGACGCCGTTTATATAAATTCTTTGAATCCACGGGGGAAAAAGTGTACACCATACATAGAAAGGTTTTTAGTCGACTCACCCGCCATTATCAGCGGCCAGTACCGCCGCTGGAAAGAAAGCTTACAGGCTTGTTGGATCAGACCTGCAGAAGTGTTGCCTTGATATTAATTTAAGCACCTTGATCTGGTTTTATTTATTCTAACCATTGGTACTAACCACTCGAACTTTGCCATAGTAGGTGGTTGGTTGCATTCTATAGATTTGCTTGTACGAAATTATTGCGTATCGAGCAACTACCGAGAGTTAAAATTCAGCTGATGATTGCGTTAGGTTGAACAATTTCTAGATACTCGCTTAACGATGTAACCGTCATCAAAATATTAAGAGTGGCATGTGCAAGTACGACGCGATGCTAAGCGATGGTAATAACGGGATGATCACTGTCCATGTGCTGGACGCGATCTCAATTACGTTTCGATTTAAATTGCCCGTGGTACTATATATTGAGACTACGACACCTTCGCGCGTGTATTGGTCAAAAATTAATTAACGACGCTAACATTGATCGCTTCTGCTGCCTTCAGGCTCGGGTTAAGGTTTCTCTCCTGCCGCGTATTGTATGTTTTTTTTTTTTTTTTTTTTTTTTGTAGTCAATGTTGAAGACAGTTTAAAAGTAGGGGCGTGTGGAAGTGTTAACTAGACCTAAGCACAAATTGATTATTTTTATCTCGCCATGCGCCTTTCTTTGTCGTTGATAACTGCTTCAATCGTTTTGTCCATTCCTGTGTTTATACTTTCTGCAGCGTCTAGAAACTACATAGTCCTGTAATGTGTGGGTACGGTCTAAACACATTAACAGCACACCGGGCCACTGATAGGGTTCTGCGAGTTTCTCACCATTATGGCTTCTCCCAATATAGTCTTCGTTCTCCTTTTCCTCGGCGATATGGATCGCAGTTCATTCATTTTCGGAAAAGAACGAGGAACTTGCGTCTTCTAATAATATAATCCATATTTATGCCTGTTTCAATCTGGATGAGCCTCGTGCCGGCGTGCGGCCCCGTAATCATTGCTGCATGATGCTCGTTAAAGACCCCCGGCCGGGTTAGTAGTCGTAGTGCATTGGCCCGCCGCAGCCAAATTGCCTATAGACAACGAAACCGGAACATCCAGACAATGGATCATAATATAACACCCGAGGCTGTGTTGGGGGAAAACGAGGAAACTCACTGTTTTTTTCATGAATCGAGGCAACGGATAAGACTTTTATTTATTTTTTTCTTTCTTCTTTTTTTTTCTTCTTTTTTTTTTGAAACGGTAAGATCTCAAGGTTGGTCTTCCCACTTGCTGAATAAAAGGTTGACTCTGACCGCAACGTGCGCACTCGAACTGCTGTGGTTAAAGCTTCTTGATAAAACTCACGCTTCGTGTTTCTCCCAAGTACCGACAACCATTGTTGTGCGAACGCGCGAAACACGTGACTCGAGCAAGCGGTACGCCACCATTTTTTTTGTTTAATTATATATTTAGTTACCCTCAAGGGCCTTGAAGGGCATTATAGAGGGGAGGGGGGTATAAGTGAAAAAGGTGCCGATGTTGATACAGTGAAATATAATACAGTAATTAAATTAATGCACGGTTGCTCAGACACTTCAAAAATATTTATACAATGTTATAACAGCAGTACCAGTCAGACAATGGTTAATCAAAAACTAACAAATCAAGGCATTTTCAAAATCAATAATACTGGTTATGGAGGTTATGTCAGGGAAAAGGCGATTCCAATCAGAGCTAGTGCGAGGAACAAAGGAGTTATAATAAGTGTTAGTTTTGTAATTGGGGACACCGACTTTGTACTGGTGATCTACGCGGGATGAAACATAAGCAGGTAAAGTTAGAAGTTCACGGCGCATGAAAGCGTTATTATGGTAAATCTTATGAAATAAAGGCAGGCGGAATATGCGTCTACGGTTCATTAGTGTGGGTAAACCAAGGCTATTTTTCATTGAAGCAACACTGGATGTACGATGGTAATTACAGAGTATTAAACGTGCTGCGCGATTTTGAACTGATTGCAATGTTGCGATGATTGTGTTATGACCGGGGTCCCAGATAGAACATGCATATTCAAGTTTAGCACGTGCTAAAGTAGTATATAAAAGGAATTTTAGTGACACTGGTGACTGAAAAATTTCATTTGTGATATCCCAGCAGGCGATTGGTTGTGTTAGTTACGTAGTTAGTGTGTTGGTGGTGGTGCTTCGGGTGCACGTACAAAGCCCTGTCTTCATCCCTGCTGAGGACCACGCGCTCAGCGAGTACACAAGAAAAATAGGGTATATTTTGACACCCCTTGTCCCTTGTACGACACCCCAAAACTTCAGCTCGACGTACAGCGCGCTGACGACGAACCGACGTTCCCAACTCTGACAGGTGGCTTGATAGCCGAGTGGTACAACTTATTAAAATAGCTAATGCACGTGCTAATGGCTACAAAAGAAGTAATCGCGGTTTTCTTGGCCCTACTGAAAAGCCTCAGTGCTCTTTTTTTTTTCTGTAGTTTTTGATACGTACTTTAGCTGTTTCATTAAGTGTATATCACCGTTCTCAAGCCCTTTGTAAATGTTGGGGCCGTCTGTTCGATGTCAGTGCACTGTACGTCGAACTTAAATTTTTGGGTATCGTATATGGGATAAAGGGTGGAAGAATATAGACTTTTGTTTTCTGAGAGCGTAGCATAAAACATGATACGTGCCCGTTGTGTTTTGTATATAATTATCAGGAGGGATTACGACTTGTTGTTTCTGTCATATCAGTAACTCTAGCCGTCATTTTGTAGGTACATATTTCATTTATATCACACTCTGACCTCATTTGCCTCCCCGATCCCGCAAGACGTCAAAACTCCTCCAAGGTTTCTCTCTCTCTCTCTTTCTCTCTCTCTCTCTCTCTCTCTGTATGTATATATATATATATTTATTACACATGCCCTCATAGAATTTCCAACGATCGTGTTAGGGCAACACAAGTACATCTGCTCAAGAAGCAAGGTTGAACACTTTTTTTTTTTTTATACAGTTAATTCTTTAGAATTGGACTGATTCGACGAATCATAGCGCGCTGGTAAGTTACAACGATGAAAGAAATGCAACGTATAGGACAAAACATGGAGAAGTTTTGCCCTGACTTCATCCTATATGCTCTTTTTTTTTTTTTATCTTCATATATTTTTAGTTGCGCGATCGTGAATGACCAGTGGAGCTGGAGAGGAAGGAGTCTATGCGAAGGAGGCTCATTAGTTTAGAAGAAGGGTGTATGCGTAGATTAGGAGAAACCCGCGAAGATCATAGGTAACAAAACAGGGGAAACTACGTGGGCAAGAGGAATGAGAAAGATGAAAGCGAAAAAAATATGCGAGGAGCAAGCAGAAAGAAGGTGGCATTGCGAGAATGGGAGACGAGGGAAGAGAGAGGAAAAACTTCATTGTGGAAGTATTTATTCGCATCTGCTATTGATTCGTATACATCTTCGCAGCACGGTGTCGCCACAACGTCCGAGTCGCGTGAGAGCTGGACGACTCCACAGCAAACTACGCCACTGGCGCAATATAAGCAAACATAACGAGTATAACCGCCACAACCGAAACCATCCAGCGACCCAGCAACGCACCGACTCGCGAGAAACGGCCGTGTTTCAACACGTGACTTCCGGATGGAAAGCGTTTCCGGTGTAGCGCACCCTCTGGATGTGGGCGGCGGCAACAAGCGTTTTCCTCCGCATTCCTCGATCTCGTCGTCAGGTCGTCGGGTTCGAAGCTGTTGTCTTCGAAAAGTTTGTGCAGAGAAAGTTGGCTCATGTTTTGGAGACATTTATTCTTGTCGTCACTGTACTCAACGGTGTCATCATCAAGACTGTTTCAAATTTCACGGCAACACCAACAGCACCCGAGTGGTGCAACCTACAGGACAAGGTAATGAGTTTTAAATGAATTGATCTCCATTCTCAGCCGCGACTTGTATTCAGGGGAATAGTTTTTGACCAAGATCGAAATATGGTAGCAATTTATCACACTACGAAAGAAGAAGACAACATACGCGCATTCGCTTTGACGAAGCTCCTTCGCTAGCGTGTACCCCCGTGAACTTTGTTCAAGGGGGTACACGTCGCTAGCAGTGGACAACTAAGTGAGTAAGGGATTCTGGCCAGTGAAAATGCGCGAACTTCAATTCAATCGGCTCTCTGAATGTGTCATGAACTTAAATACAGCACACATACTGGAAGCCTTATTTGAGATCACAGTAAAAAGCATGGTTGTGGGATTCAGCCCTTGAAACTACACTCAAAAAGCTCTTTTGTTAGCAAGTGCTCACCTCTTTTCGAGTACCAAATATCCCTTGCTGTCGATATGTCTGTTGGCCATTTGGACACTGACTAGTTTAACATTGTCCTTTCACAGCGTTTTTCTCCGCCTATCGTGCCTGTTGGTGAGGCCTTTCTCCATTTAGCTCATTTGCACTAAAACGGGCCAGTAAAAGTTTGTATTACAACCAGGCACGTAACCAGGATTTTGAGTCGGGGGGGGGGGGAGAGAGGGCAGGGCAGGGCCCCTGGCACACTCCCCCCCCCCCCCTCCCCCTGGCTAGGTGCCTGATTACAACTGCTGCTGCTAGCGTTTGTTGCTAACACACTGATGAACTTTGTAATTGCAGATGATCCATCACCGTCCATCCATCTTTCTAAAAGCTGTACATCGGGTTTTCAATGGAACGCATTCATTCCATTCGGTTTCTGGCCACGGAGCTGCCGGAAGATCATCCGTGACAAAAACAGGACGGCGTTCTTACTATTTCCCCACGGCTGTTGGACTGTCAGTGGCCATTCCGGCCGTGTGGTACTATAGCCTAGACTCTACAAGTAAGCGTAATGTACGAACTTCAGTCGGAGGAGTCCGTAGGTTCATAAAGTGAGTAGCCTATGTCATTCACACATAAAAAAAAAAAAGAATTGGGCAGTGACTTGGTACTAAAAGTAATTCTGCGTGATAAGCTAAGCACTGACGAAATCATCTGTATGTTATGGAAAATGTTTTCACTACTATTTATTTAGTTTATTCCTCTGTTTGTGACTGATATAGTATTCAGAAAGGCCGCTGGTATTTCACTAAGGCTCGCTTCAAGCGAGGCAATTTCTTCCAGCAACTTGACGTCGCAACACGGGCCGCCCTCGTTCACTTGCAGTAATCAGTTGCTACGATTTGCCATCATCATCATTAATTTTCTTTTTTTTTTTTGTACTGATACAGTTGCGCATTATAAACATGTTTTTATACATTTAAATGGCGTTGAGAATACTAACTCATCTTTCTGAAATTTCAAACCAGAGCCAAGTCTTTAGTTGTCATTATCAGCAGTATGGGATGTCATGTTTCAAATGTTGCGTCCTTGGTTGGCTGCTGCTGCTTCAAACGTCTCCGAGTTGTCCGAGTTGCTCATCCGTTTCGAGCCGGACGCGATCTGAGCAATTCGTGTCACACTAGGGAAAGCTAGGGAACAACCCGCCAGCAACACCGAAATTACTGGGAAAGTTGCCCCATCAGAAGCGGGCCTAAGAGGCAGAACTTCTGTTCCCTGCAAAAGAGGTTAATGAGTCTGACTGACTGAGCCAGATCTGTTGGTCAAGTTGGTTTTCTTTTGACTGTTTATTTTATGAAAAAGAGGCAATATGTGGAGAGCGCACCAGCAGCCGTGACGTTTGTGGCAGTTTAAGCTTGCTTTTGCAGGACTCTAGGAATTGGTCTTACAATTTCCTGCGACTACTCGTACAGCCTGTGGGGTCGCACTGAGGTGAGTTACTCTTGCAGGGTGTTACAGTCGGCCACAAAAGTTTACAAATCACACGAGCTGTGGTCAGACTGCATCACTTCGCTACCTTGCAGCGCGGCACCTGCTGTGGAGACCCGTAATGTGCACATGTGCTTCCTTTAGTACCTGCAGGCATGTCAACTCTCCCGCTTCCGGCCGACGCCCTCTTATTCTCACGAATATGGTGCCGGGCACTGCTTCGGTAACCGTGCAGACAAAATGAAAAGGCTTCAGAAACAAAAAAAGAAAGAAAAGGGCAGAATGGCTGTTTTCCTGGCCGCTGATCTGGGAAAAACAATGTTATGCCGGATGGTGGGAGATAGACTTGATTGACACCTTGGCTTCTCCCACTCGTTGTGCTAATGGGATGCAGCTGTGGCACGGCGGCCGATGATGGCTATTGAAGCGGCATCTGGCGCCGTGTTCGTGAGAATAAGAAGGCGTCATCCGGATGCAGGAGAGTTGACATGCCTGCGAGTACCAAAGTATGCGCATGCGCGCACTACGGGCTTCGACCACAGGCGCTACACCGCAAGGTAGTGCGGTAATGTAGTTCCGCCATGGCTCGCATGGTCCGTAAGCTTTTGTGGCGGTCTGTGCATGGACATTGGTATGATTGTGATCTTTCACGGGTCTGCCATGTTCTTTTCTATCTGAAGTGATGCGTGTGAAGTGATCAGGGGTCACATGGGGGTTACAGGGCACTGAGGAGTACAAGACAGCAATAAAGGCATGTCACCAGCGTGGTGCTGATCGCATTCTCAGTGGCTGCCTCGCAAATGGGGGTCTCTACATCAAGCTCGGACAGAGTCTAGTTGCCTTAAACCACCTCCTGCCTCGAGAATACCTCGACACTCTTGAAGTTCTACATGACCAAGCTTTGGTTCGAGTTGGGGACGAGGTGAGTGTTAAATGGTATTGGTGGTATCATTTTGTCTCTTTCTAACCCTTAATTCTACTTCTATAGCTGATCTCATCAGCTGCACAGACGGGACCACTGGGAATGAGTGTTGCTATGGTATATAAACTTGGTTTAGGTTTTATTTGTCAGTCTCATTGGGTTGGTAAACATTTGCCAGCAGTCTTAAAGAACACTAGCTTTGTTATGTCGTACAAAGAGGGAAAAAAAAAATGGATACTTAAATATCAGGCCGACGAGAGGATCCTTGCTTCCAGAGAGCTCGGCTATTAAAATTTTATCCCATCTAATGATCTGAAGACGCTAAATTCATTGTAAGAAATAAACTCCCAAAATGCTACTACCGTAAAGTACCGCGGAAACGCCCACTTCACTCAAGCACCCACTAATAATATTTTCCCTAACTTGTGAATTCTGCAAATTATACGTTAAGTGCCCGATTTTTCCGGACAAGTGCCCATGTCTCGATTAACCTGGTTTTTAGTGAAAGTGGGGTGGGCGCTCCCCCGGTATTTTACGGTAAATTTAATTATAAATAAAATGCCAGGCCTGTACTATATGAAAAGACTTTGAAAGTCTATAGATGTGACAAAATTGTACGCAGAGGAAGTTTTTGACTTCATTTTTTGGTGGCTTACCTCAACTTACATGTTCCCAAAAATTCCAAGGGACAAATTATGTGCACACACTTCCCATTACAAAACATAATGCTGTGTGCAGGACAAGCAGTGGAAGTAACTGAGAGGGAAAAGTCAAAACCTTTTTTAGTGCACCTTAAGTGCTGCAGACTTGATTCTAGACAGAGCATGATTTCACTTTTCCATTTAAAATCCATAATTTACCTCGATTCTTCAAAATTTTACAAGCAGCCATTTCTGTAGGACGTTTCTGGTGGTTCTGTTGAATTACCGTTTCTTTTCAGATCAATGAACTGTTCTACGAGGACTTTGGTTGTCTGCCAGAAAAGCTCTTTGCACAGTTTGATCGATCACCCATAGCAGCTGCAAGCCTAGCACAGGTCTTCAAGGCAAAGACGCACGAAGGAAAAAATGTGGCTGTTAAGGTATTTTGTTTTTTGCAGATTGTTTTATGTTATGTCATTTGACATGTTTTTATGTCAATGAAGCATCTATTTAGAATGATGCATATCTATAATCATTGTAACTACAGTTTGTCAGTTTGTGCTTCTTGAATTTTGCTTGCTGATTTCTTATACCTTTTATGCAGCTTGAAACCTGCTGTCAAAACTGTTTGTGCATTTCCCTTACCGTTCTAATGATTATGAACTTGCATGATAAGTGTAGGCTCTCAACTCTGGTTTTCTAAGGGGAAACTGACAGCTCTTATCTTAAACTTTGCGTTATCATGGTGTGTACATTATATCTTAAAAGAGCTGAATGAAAAGTGGGGTACTGAATTAAATTTAAAACATCATTTCCCTCTTATGATTTTGTTTCTTTAACGGAGGGCAGGGAGCGATAGCTTAGTGATAAAAGTGGAATCGTGAGAGTAAATTTAAGTAGGTTTCACACATTACAGTTTTGGACGTAGAATACATAAGAATCAAGTCACAACAATCGAAGACTAATTGTTCTAATACGGCGTCTTTGCATATGTCCAGGTTCAGTTTATTGACCTGCAGCAGCGCTTCACTGGGGACTTGAATGGCATTGGCATCCTCTTGCACGTCGTCAGTTGGATGCACCCAAACTTCAACTTTGCCTGGATTCTGGATGTGAGTGTCCTGCCTGGGATGCCCAGGTATTTTTCTGTTTAGGGGGATGCCATTGTTTGTGTACTCTGTTTTGCCCTAAGACGAACCGCAGCGGATGCTATGGTGCTATCCCATTCAATCAAGCGCTGTGATTGTATCGCACGATTACGTGCCCCGCATTTCGCTGTGCCCCTCCTAAAGGCCATGTGACGCTCACACGGCATAGGATTGGCTTCGATGGCTCGTACCATCCTCTGTGGTGCACCATAAAGTGAAAGGGGGTTTAGTACCCGGCATCAATGGCACACATTCGCAAAAAAAAATACAAAGAAATAGCTGGAAACAAAGTGTCACTGTAGAACAATCAGTGCTAAGAGCTCTTTCACGTGCTCCTGAGCAAAAAAGCGACAAAAGCATCAAAATAAAAATGGGCCGATATCACCACCCTAAGCAGAGTGTTCATGTTGTCATGGGAATTCTTTTGAGCAGTGCAAGGCCTATCTTGAATGAGATGGATCTCGTGTTAAGAATTCACAGAGAGCTTGGTTTGCATGTTCTTAAGGTTGGAATGTTCTTTCAGTATCTGAAGTCTTGCCTGGTGAAGGAGCTCGACTTTGAGCATGAAGCCTGCAACATGGAGCGATGTGCCCGGGACCTGAAGCACCTTCGATTTGTCTATGTCCCTAAAGTCCAGTGGCCAGAAACAAGTAAAGTAGGTAAATAGTCCCAACAGCTGTAAACTTTTGCAGTCCTATCATTATTCAATGACATCATTTCTCGTTAAAGATCCGGCAAATGTTCGCTATAAACGGTACATAATCATGGGAAAATGATGTGTGAACTAGTGCAATGGACTCTGCTTTACTTTCAACAATGTCAATAAAACACTGAGGTGGTTGAAGGTGGCTGGAAGCACCCGAAAAGGAACCTCCTTGAAGCCTCGGTGCGGCCGCCGACATTACACTGGGGTTTTATTTGGCTTTGTCAGACAAAGAAGCCCCGAAGAAAAATACTAGAGCTTACAGGTTGGAAAGGATCTGGTAAGCTGTAGAAATCACCTTCATGAGAAACTCAGTTCAACATAAAAAATGCAAAGGACTGCCTCTTAATGGATGTGGTAGATGTCATATCTTCGTTACAGTAGATATTACTTTATTAACTGATGCAAGACCAGCCAGTATAGACCATTCCATTTAGCGGTCCCAGGGCGGCGCCATTCTGTTCGACCCCAGCGCCCTCTCCGCATATCCGGGAAGTCCAGCAGGTTTGGCGGGGTAATACGAGAGGGAGAGCACGCGCCCGACTCCGCTAGCAGACGACAAACTGGGAAGTTGCCGTTTCCATCCTTGGGCTGTACCGGAGGGCTGTACCGAACATTGAACTCTTGCTTCTGGCTGCCGTCGTGAAGTGGTTCGTGTTCTTAGAATATTTATATCCACTCCATAATCAGTCCATAGCACTCTGTTGTTTTATTTCAGTACATGATCAACTAGCGTGTCTTTGTTTCGTTACCTCAATAGCAGTGGAGTTAGCTGGCAGTACTACCCTCAACCATTGTGTCTATTGCGTCAGGAGAGCCCATTTTTATTTATTATTCCGCACTTCCACTCATTGTCGCTAAAGGCCTACATCAGTACCAAGTTTGTATAGTTAAAAAAGCTACAGCAACTGGATTTACTTTTCGCCGGAGACCGGCCACTCTGACACAGTTTTCCCAAACGTTTTTGTTATTTGCACGCAGGTAACGGTGCAATTGGACCACGTTAGTCTTTTTATCCAGCACAGCATTACACGATAAATTGTGTATCAAAATACGCGCATCTGTGCTTGAAATTTCCAAAATGGCGCGATTTTAAACAGAGTTTAAACGCCATCTTGATGTTAGGTACAGCCCACTCGGCGGAGCAGACGGCGCGCTGGTGGGAGGGGGAGGGCATTTTTTTCGCTCTCGGCTCTTCCTAGTGGAATGGTCTATAGCTGGGGACCTTTAAGTGCTAGTCGGTGGCTAGTCGCTCTTCGCTCTGCTGGTGTGTAACGCGAGCTCCCGAAGACATGCGAGGAAAGCGAAACCGAACCCTCACACGCGCCGCGCGTCTCCTCACGTAGCTCTCTGGTCGCGTAATTCCCTCTGGTGGCACTCGGGAGAACCTGACTCTGGAGGCGCAATATATGAATACTGTCGAGACCGGTTATAACAAAGTCGGTTATAACGAAATAGCGGCTACAGCGAAGCGAGCCCGATTTCCCATTTCCTTTCGCACTTTGTTATTACCGTAGTCGGTTATAACGAAATAGCGGATATAGCGAAGTGATTTCCGATTCTCGTTGACTTCGTTATAACCGGTCTCGTCAGTACATGACAGTAGAGATTAGCTTTGAGAGGCTAGTTGGCACTTTTGGACAGAGGGGGGCATTGGACACTAACAACTCCTTGCATGCATTTCCCTGGCTATTCCTGGTGTCCTCAATAATATGCATCTCGAAGGTGCCCCCTCACCTAGTGCTGTCACATTGTTTTACTGAAGGTGCCTAGACAGATGCTTTTCTTCTCCACAGATAACTTGTTTCGAGTGTGCTGTTTACGACTAGGTGCAGCTGTTTTCTGTTGTTACAGCTTTTATTAACTTTCTTTCAGAGAGTGCTCACAATGGAGTTCATTGATGGTGTCAAGATCAGTGACTTACAGGGTATCAGGAGACTTGGGCTTGATTTGGCCGATGTAAGTGTTTGCACGGCTTGTACTAACTTTCTTTCAACATTATCATTGTCAAAGGTTAAAATTTTATGTTGATGCTTTGTAGACTCCAAGTGTATTATATTGCTGATTTTCGAGCACTCCTTTCCCATAAGTAGTGCCAATAAGAAGTCCTTTTGGTTTAGAAAGAAGGCATTTTCCAATGATTTCAATTTACATGACAGCTTATTATTTTCCTTCATGTTTGGAAAGCATTTTCCTTTGGCATCTCCAGAGTAGTATGCATGGCCTTCTCTGTTTCTAATACAAACAGGTGCCACTGCTTGAACTAACACAGCCATTTCCTTCCTTGTCTCACAGGTTGACCGTAAAATGGTGGCTGCTTTTGCAGAACAGTTGTTTCATACTGGATTTGTCCATGCAGATCCACACCCTGGAAATGGTTAGTCGGTATGCTTCACTATTTCATTAGCTATTATGGCACCTCCTAAGCGTCAGTGAACATATTTTTTTTTCTTTCTAATACTTGGCGCTTTAATTGTCGGGTATTTTTTCAACATGTCAAACACAAATTTTGGTCCCATGGAGAAAAACTGTAGCATGCCTTATGAACTATATTTATTTATTGAAGACAGACTGATCTATGGGCTATAAGTTAATTCATGTCTGCGTGCCTCAACCTAGGATATTTTTCTCGAGTTATACTTTTGAGAAAATGTTTAGTTTGTTGCTAAATTGTTTAGTTTATTACTAATTTCTAGATTTAGTGTTTATCATAAAGCGCAAGGCTGAGCTACATAGATTCATATTTCTGGAACAACGAAGGAGCAAACTGGAGACAGAAGTCACCTAAACATAATTTCCCACGTGCTGCCAACAGGTGTTATTGCAAAACAAAACGTTGGTGTACACACACAAAAAAAAAAATAAATAATCACTTACTTAATTGTAAGTTGTAGTGAGCAAACTGAAACAAACCTGTGTTGGAGCGTGTCCGAGTATGCTCGGGCGTGGCACTCACGGTTTTAAAGGAATATCAGATGCAGTTTCAGGATAACTTGATATTTTGTGTGCTTTTGTCTATTATAGTATGCAGAAAAGTGAAGCTTGCAAGTTTATGGAGTAATGAAAATTGTTTATCCCATCTTCCATACACTTAACAGATATATATTAGATCTTACTAGGAGTTTCAGAGCTACATCAAAAGAGTATGGTGTGTAAATAAGACCCCCTTTGGGATGGACTGTTTATTTTTGTAATTGCATGAGAACCTTGTTAAAGTTCATGTATTGCTTTGTTCACATATTATTCCTGTTTTTATTTTTCTTAGCCTCTATCTCTTCTTCAGGGTGAGGTAAATGAGAGAAAACAAAGCACTTAGTAGTTTCTCTGATTAATTGTTGGAAGTAGCACAGACATCACCCATTATTTCTTAACTGTCCAAATAAGAGGAGAGACGTTTTCCACCGAGTCTGTTTGACTGCACTTGCCGCCCTGCTTGTAGGAAATTGCATTGGTTTTGTCCCACTCCAGTGTTTGTCCAGAAAGGGGAAGACGGAAAAGCTCGGATTGTGCTTCTGGACCACGGGCTCTATGAAGACATAACCAACGAGAATCGTCTGTCTCTCTGCCAGCTCTGGAAGGCAATCATCATGAACGATCAAGTGGCCATGAAGGCACACTCACTCGAGCTGGGGGTTTCAAGTGAGTTCTGTAGAGTTTGAACCAGTTCCGTGGTTTTACAAAGGCGGCTGCACCAAATTTGCTATTGCAGCAACATTTGCGCGTGAGCTTAATGCTACATATTTACACCATAGTGCGTAAGCAATGTAACCTTCGTCTGTTCTCTTTCGCTTTTGGTCCATTCCAGACTACCCGGTCTTCTGTGAGATCCTGATGCAGCGACCCCTTCGGCGGCCTACGCTGCGCATCCGGAACCGCCTATCTTCTGAGGACGTGGGCTACATGCGCACCATGGTGCAAGGCCATTTCGACGAGGTTATGGACTGCATCCGCAGCCTGCCACGACCAATGCTGCTGGTTTTCAGGCAAGTGATCTGTGCCAGCGAGTGTTGGAGAAGTCTCGATACTTTACTGGCTGTGGATTAAGCATGTTGTTGCTTGGGTTGTGCTCATTAAATGAATTGGCCTCTAGGAATGACAACGTAATGTACAGTCGGCCACAAAATCTTACGGACCACACGAGCTGCAGCTGAACTGCATAACCGTGCTACCTTGTGGCGTGGCGCCTGTGGTCGAGACCCGTAGTGCACGCATGCGCTTCCTTTGATACTTGCAGGCATGTCAACTGTCCTGCTTCCGGCTGATGCCTTCTTATTCTCACGAACACAGCACCAGGTGCCACATCGATGTCCACCGTTGGCAGCCGTGCCACGGCTGTATTTAGGTGGCACATATAGTGGAAGCCGAGATATTAACTCTACCTCCCGCCGCCCGGCATGGTATCATTTTTTCCAGCTCAGCGGCCAGGAAAACAGCCATTCGTCTTTTTTCTTCCTTTTTGTTTCAGAAGTCTTTTAATTTTGTCTGTGCTTGCTGCCCTCTCAACCAGTCAGTGACAATTGATTTAGAAAGCGTCATTTGCAGTGTTGGGAAGTACTTTAAGTATATAGTACTTAAAGTACTACTTGTAGTACTAATGTCTAGAAAACTTGTGCTCTACTTGAAGTACATTCTCTGACTATGTATTTGTTCTTTACTCTAAGTATTTTTTTCTGGTACTTTCCAAGGAGAGTAAAACTCCCGATGTCAAAGTAAATTCACCCAACTTGGTTTTGTTAAATTTATATCATGAAAGGATGCTTTGCCTACTCTGAAGAAATATTGGGAGGAATATATATCTACTCTCGCCAGAAATGTGAGGAGACGACACATTGCTTGTTTGTTCTGGGGGCGGCTTTCCCGCAGCCATTTCAAACTCTCGCTACTTCTCGCTCGGTCAGCGCAAGCGAGGAGGTTAAGAATATTAGGCAAGGACATTTAATCATAATGTGACACCTGAGGCTGTGGTGCAAAAAAATAAACTTTTAAGTTATAGGAAAAGACAACAAAGGAGAACGTCACAGTGTTTTGAGACGTTCTACTTTGTGTTTTCCTTCAACTTACAAATTCCTTAATTTTTCCACACCACAATCTCAGGTGTCACATCATGATTAATTATCACCAGTTCGCCTGCACATGCACTCTTTTTTTTTCGTTAAGAAGAGGACACTCCTCTACGAGGGGATCGCTAGCGGAAGCTACGGGGCTGACGTCATGTTCTCTCTTAGTATGTTAATCCTCTTTGGTGTAACAAGCCAGTGCACGCAATGCCGAATTCAGAAGTCTGAGAGACTTCTGAATTTGGAACCACTTCCCAAAATAACTACAATGTGGCCTCTTGACTTTATCTAATGTTCGCCATCATTTCTGAAATTAAGTGATGCATCCCTGGTTACCCTTGGGGCAATGCATACCAGTTAAAAAACCACTGTATATATAGGGGAATGAAAGGGCATCATGAAATAGCATTGTGTAAAAAAGTGATTCTACTTTACTTTGAAAGTACTAGGTACATTCTATTTATAGTATTTTACTTTGAAAGTACTATATTCTATTTATAAAAGTACTTCAAGTACATTGCACCCAGTGTACTTACTACTTCACTTGAAGGACATCACCCCTCATTTAGTTTTTACTTTACTTAAAGAACTTGTTAGATGTACTTTACCCAACACTGGTCGTTTGTTATATATTGTACACGTTATTAAATAAAATATTAAGAACTTAAAAAGCTTTTAGAATGAAAAAAAAAAGGTATAATGACTGTCTTCCTGGCCGCTGAGCTGGGAAAAACAATTCCATGCTGGACGGCAGAAGATATAGTAGATATCACAGCTTCTGCCTGTCATCGCGCCACCGAGATAGAGCCGCGGCATGGCAGCTACCGAAGCAGCGCTTGGCGCCGTATTTGTGAGAATAAGAAGGCGTCGACCGGAAGCGGGATGGTTAACATGCCTGTGACTACCAAAAAATGCATGTGCGCGCATTACGGGTCTCGACAACAGGCGCCGCGCTGCAAGGTAGCGCAGTGATGCAGCTCCGCCACGGCTCGTGCGGTCCGTGAACTTTTGTGGCCGAGTGTACATCACATCTGAAAAAAAGGTTCCCAACGTGTCAGTGTCCTAAAATCGGCAACTGGACGTTGCAGGGTGGAATATCTCTCACGTCCGTAGTTTTCTGGTCCACTCGTCACACCATTTTCTTATGTGCAGTAACTCGCTAGGTTAATCTTATGAGGGTTTGACTTTTTGTGATGTGGTACTTGTGTGCACTTGCCTAAAAATTTCCGGTTGGCAAAATATTACAGGAACATCAACACGGTGCGTTCCATAACAAAAAACCACGGTCATCCTGTGGATCGGTTCACGCTGATGGCTCGCATCGCCACACGACACCACGCTTCCAGCCAGGGCCGCAGTAGTGGTTTTAGAGTTTGGCTGCAGTGCTGGTGGAGTTACTTCGTGTTTGAGTGTAAACTCAGGTGAGCTTTTTGTTTGCAGCTTCTCGGGTATCTGCTCTTATGTTGTGCCAATTCGGAGGTCTCTGTAATTTACACTGTGCATTGGGCATTTGGCTACGTGTGGATATTGACACGGCTAATTTTTTTCCGTACAAAGCCATTGACTCTGAGCTTAGTAAAGATTTCATCTGTTTGTTTCATGCTAATTTGAAATCACCGCTCTTTCATAATTCTTCTTTTTGTACAATGTGCTTTGCTGCACCTGTTACTTATTTTTGCATTTTCTTAGCGTCTACCTCAGTAATTTCAAGATTTCATTTGCCATCACCACAGTGCCAGAGTTTAGAAGACGCATGCAATGAATTCACTGTTTGTAGATAATCATTTTAGCAGAAAAGTATTATCACAAAAATTACTCAGGGTGTGAGCCTCGTTTTGTATGTAGAAGCGTCCTCCCCTTTTAAATTGCGAGGGGAGCCATGTTGGGGCAAGGTAGAAAGTGGAGAGCGTCTAGGAAAGGGAAAGGGGTGCAAAGGTGGAAAGCATGAAGTGTACATAGACTTTTAACTTGGAGTGAAATTATGACGACTTTTTTTTTCAGACTGGAGTACTGGCACATGCAGCTCTCAATGCTTTATCTGCGCTGCTGTCTTCATCTGAGAGGACCGAACAAGGACCTAGAATATCTGCTGGATCTCGCTTCTGGGGATGTTTCACCTGTGTAGGACTTTTAAAAGTTATAGTTTGCTCGTATTTATGTAGAGCAATAAATCTATGTTACTTTACAGCATCACAGCTTGCCCTTTTTCTTTGAAATCGTGGCTTTGACATTTATGGAACGTGTTCTTGATCCAATATGAAATGTCTAAGACAGATTCTCGGAGAAGCGCTTGTACCAACTCTCCGGAATTCATATTGTGGTCCATGCTAGGAACCAGGGATCTCGGTAAAACCGGTTTACCAGTAAAGTATACTGTTCACCACCATAAGCCCGTAGCTCTCAAGTTTTGAGCAGCGCTCCAGGCGAGCGAAATAGAATATTTGTGGCTCGCGTTTTGAGCATGCGTCATTACGCTTCCCCACTACAGTTTGTATTATACTCCGTTTAAAGTGCCAGCGTAGCAGAGGCTAGAAGAGTAACTTGCGAGATTTCAGTGTCCCTGCCGAGCACGCGCGCTCGTGCAGTGTGAGCATCGTTCAGGGGAACATGCTTTGGCAAGTAGCTTCGGCTTCGCTATCGCGTAATGTGAAACATACGGGCTCACGGAAGCGATGAAAGAAAGCAATACAAATGAAGCTGACTGTTTAATGGGACGCTGAGGCCGCCAGTTGCATACTTTTTTTTATTTTTCATACTTTTTTTATTGCGCGTGTACAAATGCTGACAGAAGCTTGCATTCGAACGTGGCACGTGCAAAATCGAACGTTACAGCGCCGCGTGGATGGCGCAGCCATCATAACATGGTCGCGTCTTGCGAACGTGCTCGCGCCCCTTGCCTCAGGGTAAACCCGTTGCTCTCGGGCAGGGTGCGCGAAGCACGTCCACAAGACGCGACCATGTAATGCTGGCTGCTCCATCCACGCGATACCGGCCACAAAAACGGCGCTGTAACGTTCGGTTATGCACAAACCACGTTCGAACACAAGCGTCTGTCAGCCTGTCCATGCGCGATAATAAAACGTATAAAAAATAAATAAATAAATAAAAAATGCAGCCCGCCGCCTTAGCGTCCCGTTAAACATTCAGCATTATTCTTTGTATTGCTTTCTTTCATAACCTCCGTGAGTACGTATTTTTCACTTTACGTGATAGCGAAGCCGAAGCTACTTGCAAAAGCATGTTCCCCTGAACGATGCTTGCACTGCACGAGCGCGCGTGTTTGGCAGGGACACTGGAATCTCGGAGCTCGCTCTTGTCGCCTATGCCACGCCGCCACTTATAATGGAACGAAGTACGCACAAACTGTAGTGGGGAAGCGTAATGCCTTGGTAATGACGGATGTTCGAAACGCGAGCCACGATTATTCTATTTTGCTCGCCTGATGCGCTGCTCCAAACTCGAGAGCTAAGGGCCCATCCACTTTCTAAAACCTGCTATTTCACGCGTGAATCTCCTGCATGACGCATTTTAATGGCGCGTTTACACTTGCGGATTCGCGGACGGATCCGCTCTGGCGGCGAGTGGATTTTGGATCAGGGTGGGCGAAATCGACTGGTCGAAGACGGAAAATCTAGATATGGGTCCCGGACCGATCCAGGTTCTCCGCCAGCTACGAGCAGATCTCGCCACCCGGCACCAGAATCCGCTCGTCGCCGGCGCGGATCCGCCCGCGAATTCGCAAGTGTAAACTGAACTCCATGGGGCAAATAATGCGGGGGACAGCCGACGAACATAGCCCGGTGTCATGTTCACTTTGCGCGCGGCGCAGCAGCCACTGTTCTGACACCACGCGCATAGCGAACGCCGCCGGGCGAAATTTGTCGCATGTTTCGCTCCATGCAGCCTTTAGCACACTTTTCAATGGCATATAGCTTCCGCTAAAAACTGGACTCCGTGAAATGAAAAAAAAAACAAAAAAAAACGATGAATTTCGCTCAGCGGCGGTCGCTCTGCGTGTTGCCTCAGAACAGCCTGCGTACAAGTTCGATGGTCCGTCGCATACTCGCCGACGTGGTCTACAGGCATACTTTGCCACATCACTTCGGCGCGAAAGGTGGTGCACGCTCTACAGGGGCCGCCTCTACTTCCGATTTATTTGTAGTAGCTTTTCTTTTTGCAGCGAAGCTGTTTTGTGCCAGGATCTGGAAAAAAATGCGTCCATGGATGTTAACAAAAAAAAAAAAAAAAAAAAAAAACTCGTTAAAACGGCGCTCCTTCGTTTCGATTGGTCTTGGTAAGTATAAATAAAATGAGAAGGCAACCCGCGTGAGTCAGCCTTCCTTGGCATTATTAGAAAGTGAGGTCGTGATCCCTTGTTATCATCTACGTTACCGACTTATCTCAGCTAAGAGTGCGCTGTGACGAGGCTGAGGGTAGAACGCGCCGACCTAACCTTCTTTTCTTTCGCTTCCTTGATGCTGATAAAGAGACTGGGGCTAAATCGGAAAAAGCTCCTCGAGGTGTGCCTCGAAAAATTGGGTTTAGAACTTGCCCATAAGGCAATTATCACTTTAGTCACTAAGAATTAAAGACAATTATACAACGAAGTCGTGTACGTGTCTTCATTGCAATCGTATGTAAATCGTATACATGTCGTACAGTTGTCATACGTTGTCATAAAGATAACAGCTTCGCTGGTTTTCCATCTGCACGTGAAGTGGTTGGGCTCTACATTTCTTTTTTTTTATTTCATTTGCTGTTTGTTTTAAGATGGCGGTCCTGCTGTTATTTTTATTTGTTGCTATATTGCGCATGAACAGTTTCACGAGTGTTTCATCGCTAATTCTTGAGTTTGAGAGTTGTGAAATCTGAACAGCTGAACTGTGCTAATGTTTGGCTCTTATGTAGCAAATAGTGTACGACAACACGCGATTTTAATTTCGAGTTTTCTCTTTGCTTCACAATGGGTAATTGACTTCGCTTATAAGAGCTCGTGTTATGATGAAGTGCCACAATGTTGCGGTTTGCTTCTGACATGAGCTAACGCGTTTACTGTGCCTCACTTACCTGTTTGAATAGCAGCTGAGATTCGGATGACACAATGATTTCACCTCAATGAACAAAGCTCTCTAAACTGGTTTGAGATGGTACATCTAGACAAATGCTGCAAAACCTATAATTTTCACCAGCCGCTGATGTTCCCTAATACTTTCTGGAAATGTACTGTCTCTAGAAACTTGTACTAGCGCACGCACCAAGCTGAGGGATTCGAGGCAAAACCTCCACACTATTGGGCAGGAGATCGAACTATAGGGGGCGCTTTATCGAGGTTGTTGTCCCCTCAGCCCGGTGTTTAATAACACAGCATAACAAAGAAATTGAACCTCGTCATGCACGGCCTGGACACGAGCGCTTCGCTCTGTCCAATGCTGGCCTTCGAATCGTCTTCTTCGATATCGCTGATCAAAAACAAACAATAAATTTCGGTTTGTTGTCCCCACAGCTGAAGCGTGCCGCTAGAGGCGTGACTGTTCGATCTCCTCCCCAATAAGACTCGCGGTCATGTCACCCAAGTTATTCGCAGCCAATTGGAGGCCGCGAAAATAGTTTACACATTCTCGTGATCTCGTCCAAGCTCAAAAACAAGCACACTTTTTTTTTTTTTTTCACGTTTCTCGAACAAAACGCGTGCGCTGTCAATGCGGAGAGCAAGTCGTCTGCTCCTTGCGCAAGAGTTGCAGTGACGTCAGAAAGACGGCGAGCTCTGATTGGCTCTGATTGAAGGATAGTGGGCAGGCCTCAAAGCAAGCTGCCTTTGAGGTCTACCCACTATCCTTTCATCAGAGCCAATCAGGGCTCAGCGTTCTGACGTCACCACAACACCTGCAAAAGAAGCAGACGAATTTGCGCTCCGCATTGTCGGAGGGCAGTGTTGTGTAGGTATGCCATTTGGGCAGTAAGTTTGACTTGGCAGCTACGACCACCTTCTGCGGCGTTTTCGCAGGACTGGGACGATCCCCGGTCAGAGATTCATTGGACCCGAGCTTGAGAGCTTGTGCCGAATCATTTGGTGGCAGTATTTATGCGAGCTCCGCTTCCAGTGGCACTTTAGCGCAACCAGAGGAGTAACCTTCTGGTTACTTCTCTTTCACGATGTATTGCACAAAATGGGAGTCTGCATCTGGCGTTGATGTGTGGAAACGTGCGTGCTTCTCGCAACGTTCAAGTTTCAAGAGGGCATATCAGCTACGCCTTTCTCTTTTACCTTCAAATTTCCAGAAAGTTCTTAAATGCCCATACCTCTTGGCAGTGGCGTCACTAAAAAAAAAAAAAAAAAAGGGGGGGGGGGGGGGCACCGTGCCACTGACCCTAGGGATGCCACTGCCTCTTGGGACTACTAATTCTTATTTTTGAGCAAACGCTCGTAATTCGCAAAAAAATGTAAGCTTTAGAAAATGAACCGTTTTTTTGAAGAGAAATCGATTTACTGCCTACTCTTTAAGGTGAAATGAAGTCGCGAAGTGATTCAGATCCCAATGTTTGTATTTTAACGGGACTTGAAAACGACTTCATATATCGGGGGTCTCAAACACGCGGCCCGCGACTCTCTGTGATGCCGCCCACAAGCATCCCGCGGCTGCGAGCCCCCGTTCCCATAAATGATAGTTTTATATTGTCGATTCATTTCCGCTCGAAAAGGAGCTCTGCTCTGCGCACGCATTTCGTACCATTCTGCTTTTTTTTTTCTTCCTTTTTTTGACCATGTATTGCTTTGTCTAAGTATTTGCTTCTCAGCCCTTTCTCGTGTAAATCAACAGTAATGGCAATACCATACTACTAGGGTATACAAGTGCGAGCTCTTTGCTCAAGGAGACACCTCTGCTGCGTGAACGGCCAAAGATAAAGCTATGAGCTGGGACTTCTAGCGTTCAGACAATATCTTTAAAATGCTGCTATAAAAATTGTCAGAAAAGCAAAAACTGCCTCATGAAGAGGTACGTTTTTTTATGCCTGTTGAGCCTAGTGAATTGTGCGACAGAGCAAGGATGGTGTGCTTGCTCTCGTTCTATTGAAAACTGCCAGTACTGTGGTATGGTGGAGCTTTAAATCTTTTTAAAACATCAGGCGTAGGCCCAAAGTAGTCGTACATGCAAAGAAAAGCTAAAGAGGGCCAAACGATGAGCTTGCAAAAA